GGGGGGGGGGGGGGGGGGGGGGGGGGGGGGGGGGGGGGGGGGGGTGGGGGTTCGATAGCGTCTGGTCGGTTCTCTCTTCGCTGTTCGGGTCAACGCAAGTTTGTCTGTAGTTCTTCCGCATTGTAACGAGCGCAACAATATCTCCACATCAGCTACCCGTGCGTCGTCTCGATTGAAAACAACACATTGAACGACGGTGCCCCTTTCATCCCGAGAGCCTGCGAATGTTTTCTCCCGCTCTCTGCACAGTAGACTACAGCAAGTACAGCAGTACTGATAGTGTACAGCAGTTCTACACGTACGTCGTGGTCTACATGCAACAGCAATAGGACGACGAACCACGTTCATTCATCAGTACAAACACACGCTTACACAGCAATCTCCTAGGAGGGGGGCATCAACCCACAGAACGAAGCTTCGAAAGGAAAACCATCACGACACTGCGGTACCTTCATCACCCAACAAGCTACGGCAGGAATGTCTCTCGACGTCGTACGGAATGCTGGGGTAGTGTACCAGGCAGGCAGCTACAAGGCCTTGGGGATGTTTGCCGCAGCACTCAAGAGCGTGACGAGGCGCAGCATGGCGGTTGCGCAGCTGTGGGAGACCGTCAGCCGCGCTGTGGCTGTCGGGGAGGTGCAGCTGGACACAATTCGGTTGGAAGGGCTGCAGGTTACAGATGAGGACGTAGAGGTGCGGCAGCATGCTGCGACAGATGCAGAGGGGGGACGACAATTTTTGCACCGAGATGGCGTAGCCAGCCGCTCGACAAAAACTACAGCTGGGCAATACCGTGGTTGACCGTGTAGACTAGTGAATCTCTGAGGATACTGATATGCGATGCTTTGATAAGGCGCTGCTCTGCAGCTGCATCGCATGCCAGAGTCTGTTCAGCGGTAGTCTGTACACTAAGGGTATTTCCCAGGGTACATACGGTTCGTCGTTGCCTGCCCATCCACCCAGGCCACGATAGGTTTCAAAAAAGTGTAGGCATCAGTACCGCAGGCTCAGGCAAGCTTACTCTGAACCACGCCCTCAGATTACGGAGGTCACGACAATAACCGTACTGTAGATTCTGATTTTCCCATGCAATGGACCCGCAGATCCCTACGTTGTATCACGGCTTGCTGTCCTTATACGTATCGACGCTACCGTACAACTTCTTTCTTTTGTATGAGTTCGGGGTCGTTTGTATGGCACTCTTTCCCAAAACCTGGAATGTTTCATAGCCTCATTGAATCTTGGACTGGGCCGTCCCTGCCCGTAATGGATATGGTCACGAACTCGCAGCCTTGCGACGAAGAGGCGACCACCACACAACCAGACTATATCGAATGACGTGCAGGTTTGGGAGGAAAACGTTCCCCACCCGTTTTGACCCCTGTGCAGGAAATAGTAGGCGCTGTCATCTCTAGTGGACTGGCCATTCGGAACATCTCGGTGGCTAGCAACAAAATCGGGGACGCGGGTGTAGGATCGTTGGCCCGACTGCTAGACGATGAGCCGCCTTCATACAGCTCCGTCCTATCCTCGCTAGACCTGAGAGGAAACAGCATCGGTTCGAAAGGATGTCAGGTATCGACTTGCTGTAGGAGTTCATAAAGTTGTTCTGGAGTTTCCTCGTTCTCCATTTTGTTTGATGTGTGTAGCCGTGAATGTAATCAGCCTTTTGCCAGCATTTGCAGAGGCGTGACTCGACGAGATAATGTTGGATGTAAGTCGAACAGCTTCCGCAACAAGTTCGAAAACCCTTTCAAAAGACAAACCAGTCTTCTCCTGCCTGTTGACTGTCCTTGAACCGAGTTCAGAGACCTCGAACTTGCCTGCCTTATAGTACACAATCAGCCTACATGCCGGACAATCAAGCAAAGACATACTTTTGTTGACCGAGCCAGTTCTGCACCCATTGTCATTATTTTGGTGTAAGAAACGGTAGACCCCGACAACGGTGTGCGTTGAAGCGAACGACCACGGACAACCAAGAGAAGATTGAAGTTCGCCTCCCACCCTGTGCGGTGCAGGTGCTCACGGAACGCCTGCGCCAGAACGCGATCCTGACATCGTTGGACCTGAGCTCAAACCCTTTGAAAAGCGAAGGGGCGTCGTACATCTCAAAGGTTAGACAGACGACATTGAAAGGGCTAGCCTCATCTTGAGGGCCAGCGCGCTTCAAGTTTGCTGCTGCGATCGATCGCAATTCGTGTTAGAGTTGAAGTCCACGCCCTGTTGATCGTTTGCACGCGAAATTTGCCGCTGATAATTATATCTTAGACGTTTGTCAATCTCAAGAAGTGGGCGCTCCTTAAGCCTGGACCGAGATATGTGGCAGGGCAGAAGCTCTCTACCCTTGAAATTAGACAAGAACTGCATGCTAACCCCACGTTCTTCGCTGTGTTTGTCGCTAGAGGGTCGTCGCTGCAGTTGTTCCTGCAGGCATGACACTGCATGAAAGTAACGACCCTCAAAAGCGAATATTCAGCAGTTCAAAGCGGGCGAGCAAGCCGAGCAAGCCGAGCGTCCTCTCTGCCACCAACTCCCACCCCCCTACCCCAAGTCACCACATCTCTTCCCACCTACCTCCCCTTCCAGATGCTCTTGGACAATTTCACGATCGAGCGGCTGGTGATCAGCAATACGGACATGACCGAGGCGGGGTTCACTGCAGTTCTTGCCGTGCTACGAGAAGGGAACAACACCGTGCGGGAGTTGAGCATTGGGTCGCAGCTACTGCGCTCTCGCGAGGTAGGACGGGGGTGGCGAGAAGGCGGATGAAAAAGATAACAATACACCGGTAGGTTGAGAGAGGCGTAACGGCAGTGCCCAAAGAAACACCTGCTCTTGGCACAAACAGGCACCACCAGCAGAGTGCCCACTGACAAAACCCGGCACGGTCTCCACTACCCTCTCCGTCCTTGTCTCCCCGCCCGACCAACAACGCGGAACGACGCGAAGGAAGTCGCTGCTTGTCACGTGTCGCGAACGCTGGAAACCCCGCCTTGCATGCTGCGACTGCTGGACCTGTCGGGGTGCGGCATGGGCGACGAGGGGGCGTACGTGTTGCGAGGTGCGCTGACGGGGCACCCGACGATGAGGACGCTAGACCTCTCACGGAACCGCATAGGCATTACGGGCGGCCAGGTACGTACGAAAGCAGGGGTACCCGATCTACTTGACAACCCGGCGACGCTTCGTCGAGGAAGAAAACGACGGTAGAGGCAGACCACTAGCCGTAGCCGCAAAAGCCGCCGCCGTAGCAGCCATTGCCACAACAGCCCCCTCAGCGGTAGTAATAGCAGCTCCTGCTGCAATGCCACGGTTGTTCATTGGTAACAGTGGTGACGGCAGCGCTTCCGTGCGCAGAACAGCAACCGTCGTGCATCCTATGTTTCGTGGTGAATATACTACTAGTTCGGTGTTGCTTCAAGGTCGGACGCGCCCTAGACGTCTTCCCACCGTTGCACGCGTCTAGGGGCGATCGACTTGCCGTGCGCACTCGGTTGACATGCCAACACGTAGCATGAGAACACCCAAAAAGGTCACCCAACCTTTGGAAGCACTATTCTATGAGAGTAACATATACGCCCTGAATCCACTACTACCCCCGTCGACAAGGGTTTACCCCGCCACCGTACACCGTTGTACGGCAGCACACGGGTACGCGGAGAACACACCTCTCTCACGGCGACGCCCCCCCCCCGGCTCCACCTCATAAATACCATGAACTATTGCCCCCAGTTACGATCAACTCCATTGAACAAATCGGGATCGCGACGGCATGAACCGCAACCAATATAAAGTCAGCGAAAACGGGATGTGGTGGTCTGCGCACCTTTCATGCCGCAACGAACCCTTTCGTTAACACACAGGCGCTCGCTAGCCTCTTGGTGGGGAATTCGTCGCTGTCCAGTCTGTTCCTCCGGGCTAACATGATAGGTGACGAGGGGGCTAGAGCGTTCAAGATCGTCCTGCTCCACAGCCAGACGCTAACCACGTGAGGAGAAGCAAGGTCTTGTGGACCCTGTCGTTGTCAAGCTGCCGGTTGCGAGCGTTCACTCATATTTCGGGCGCGGGTGAGAGAAAGAGTCTCGTAACCCGCCTCTAGAAACCAACTGTCGCGGTCAGGGATAAGCTACTCGGAAAACCCTCGGAAGATCACGTGGCATCGGATCATTTCGGCCATATAGGTGCTTGGAATAGGCTTTCTAATGAAGCCTACTGCAGAGTCACCAGTAAAATCATGAATATTACGCGAGTCGCGTGCAGGACGAACGAACGCAATCCGTGCTCTCGAGGATAATCGCTTGTGAGGCAATGTTTGTTGCGTATCGCCGCTTCGTACCTCCCCCGAACGTAACTAAACAACGAAAAAACTGCAGCCTTGATCTGCGCAGCAACGACATCCACGATCAGGGCCTGGATGCTCTCGCGGAAGGGATGGAGTGCAATGCCTCCATTGAGCGCCTGTTCGTGTGGGGGAACCACTTCGGACAGGTCGGTTGTACGATACAATTTTTGACACCCAGCTTGTGCTCTGTCGGCTGCCGCTTGCCTCGGAATATATTTGATTTCGGTTTTTGTTGTTTCGGTCTCAGGAGAGGACAAACTCAAGTGCGATACCTACTCCGCGAATTCGAACAAATTTGGTTGACGCGTACGCTGTGTTGCTTCAATCGTTGCTCTAAGCGTGCGTTCGAAGATACGACCAAGTGGGATTTAGAGACGCGTTTATCCCGCTGGAGAACTCAAGT